AAAACCTCTAACCACCATGGATTTTATGTCAAAGATGACAACTAAAACACTTTCAAGATGATATCAATTTCATTGGGTTATGTAGTGTGTGAAATATAAATCTTGAGCCGAAAAGGGGCTTTTTGTAGATATTTAACCCCTCTTTTTTGGCCAGTATCTCGGTATATTAACTGGACAATAGTGATTGTATATTTAGTCCAGATAGTTCAAAGGATAAGGAGTGCTGAGTGCAATCGCTAAGTACCTCTATGCTATGTGATGTTTCAGTAAATGTGGGCATGGGTATGTGCCTCCCCCTCCCCCACACACACATACACTATCAAATGTTCTTTGACATACCTCCTCCATCAGATCCGACCGCTTGGTAAAATCTTGGTATGGTAAAGACTAATATGTCAAGATAATCAAGGAAATATATTTAAAAAAAAATCATGTTTGTGATTTAGCTGGGATCATATACATAGTCATGTGGATATCAAGTCAGAGCCAAGAATGTGTTTTCTTTGCCATTATTGAAAACAAAACATATAGAAACGCATAACTTTTGCATGATCTAAAGATAGATAATTTGACCCTTGAATATTGCATGGTTACAAATATTTGATACAACTATTTACTAATTAATAGGTATATACTTATTTCGAAAAGAAATCCTATGTACGTACTTCATAACTTCACATTTACTCGATCACCCAAAATAATGCACATGTACAAATATGTATCGATATCTTGCCATAGGACATTATAGTGCCGGGCTGGGATTCGAACCCCACCCTTGGATTGAAAATCAATTGAATGAACCACCTGTACCACGACACCTGAACAATAAATTTTCCATAGTTTCACTACTCCACAACCAAAATATGTACAACGAATAATATACTGTTTCATCTAGAGAGTTTCTGGACCATCATTCAACCAACGAATTGCTATATGAATTTAAGATTCAAGTGCAAAGTACTCGCATGCAGATTACCATCCAACCAGCACAAAGCTATATGAATTTAAGATTCAAATTCAAAGTTCTTATGTACAGAGTACTATTGGACCAACGCAATGTTATATTCCTTTAAGAATCAAATGCAAAATTTTCATATACAGATCTCCATCCAACCAACTCAAAGCTATATACATTTTAGATTCAAATGTTGAGTTCTCGTACACAGATCACCATCCAACCAACGCATTGCTATATGAATTCAAGATTTAAATTCAAAGTTCGTATATACAGCGTACCATTTAATCAACGCAACGCTATAGGAATTCAAGATTCAAATTCAAAGTTCGTATATACAGCGTACCATTTTATCAACGCAACGCTATTTGAATTTAAGATTCAATTTCAAATCCCTTATATACAGAGTACCATTTAACCAACGCAACGCTATTTGAATTTAAGATTCAATTAATGCAACGTTCTCGTATACAGAGAAGCATCCAACCAACCCATTGTTATATATCAATTTTTAGATTCAAATGCAAAGTTCTCGTATATAGAGTACAATTTAACCAACGCAATGCTATATGACTTCAAGATTTAAATGTAAAGTTCTCGTATATAGATCACCATCCAACCAACGCAAAGCTATATACATTTTATATTCAAATGTAGAGTTCTCGTATACAGAGCACCGAACAACTGACGCAATGGTATATGAATTTAAGATTCAAATTCAAAATTCTCGTATACAGATCACCATCCAACCAACGCAAAGCTATATGACTTCAAGATTCAAATGTAAAGTTCTCGTATATAGATCACCATCCAACCAACGCAAAGCTATATACATTTTAGATTAAAATGTAGAGTTCTCGCATACAGAGCACCATACAACCAACGCAATGGTATATGAATTTAAGATTCAAATTCAAAATTCTCGTATACGGAGCACCATACAATTACCAACGCAATGGTATATGAATTTAAGATTCAAATGCAACGTTCTCGTATACAGAGCACCATACAACCAACGCATGGTATATAAATTTAAGATTGAAAGCTTATCAGTACTAGTTTACAGGAGGGATTACACCGCCCTGCAAGGTCACTGGACAGGTGGTTATCTCTTCAACTCAGCTCTCAGTTAACATAAGAAAAAGAGGATCATGGGGACCAATGGTCACCGATTAGGCATTGTTTAATATAGAGAGGTCGCAAGTAGCTACAAGTAGTGCAGCGGGCTTTTAAATGCAAAGTTCTCGTATACAGAGCACCATACAACCAACGCAATGGTATATGAATTCAAGATTCAAATTCAAAGTTCTCGTATATGGAGCACTGTTGTTGAGGTTTTGGCTTCGGTCTGTCCTGGCTCCTCTCAGTCTCTACATTGCCATACACGAGTGCGGCAGCGCCTGCTTCCTGCGGATCTGTGACCTCATATGGGTTCTCGTGGGGGGGGGGGGGGGTCCAAAAAAGCAGCCCTTTTGACGGACAATAGTATTTTGTACATGTGTTTTTTAACCCTTGAACCAATGGTGTCATATGAAATGAAATGAAATTATCTACTTTTTTATACCAATTTTACTTGAATTTAGATTAGTTGCTAATTTAATTTAAAAACATGATTTCAGTTATTTCTTTTCTTCACTGAAGATATTGAATTTTTATCGAAAATCATTATTTTCCATATAACAAATTCATCTGCACACGTATATACATGGACAATATCGTTTGCAAAGAAGAAGCTATATCTCCTTTCAGTGAAAAGTTGTAGCACTACCCAAATTTATTGATTCAATTTCCACAAAAACATAGTTTTGGCCCATATGTGTAGTATTGCTGTATGCATACACGTGTATTCGTGTATCGAGGACGTGTTTGGTGTGTTTACATCCACTTTCAAAGATGAATTTAAAGTAAAACCTCTAACCACCATGGATTTTATGTCAAAGATGACAACTAAAACACTTTCAAGATGATATCAATTTCATTGGGTTATGTAGTGTGTGAAATATAAATCTTGAGCCGAAAAGGGGCTTTTTGTAGATATTTAACCCCTCTTTTTTGGCCAGTATCTCGGTATATTAACTGGACAATAGTGATTGTATATTTAGTCCAGATAGTTCAAAGGATAAGGAGTGCTGAGTGCAATCGCTAAGTACCTCTATGCTATGTGATGTTTCAGTAAATGTGGGCATGGGTATGTGCCTCCCCCTCCCCCACACACACATACACTATCAAATGTTCTTTGACATACCTCCTCCATCAGATCCGACCGCTTGGTAAAATCTTGGTATGGTAAAGACTAATATGTCAAGATAATCAAGGAAATATATTTAAAAAAAAATCATGTTTGTGATTTAGCTGGGATCATATACATAGTCATGTGGATATCAAGTCAGAGCCAAGAATGTGTTTTCTTTGCCATTATTGAAAACAAAACATATAGAAACGCATAACTTTTGCATGATCTAAAGATAGATAATTTGACCCTTGAATATTGCATGGTTACAAATATTTGATACAACTATTTACTAATTAATAGGTATATACTTATTTCGAAAAGAAATCCTATGTACGTACTTCATAACTTCACATTTACTCGATCACCCAAAATAATGCACATGTACAAATATGTATCGATATCTTGCCATAGGACATTATAGTGCCGGGCTGGGATTCGAACCCCACCCTTGGATTGAAAATCAATTGAATGAACCACCTGTACCACGACACCTGAACAATAAATTTTCCATAGTTTCACTACTCCACAACCAAAATATGTACAACGAATAATATACTGTTTCATCTAGAGAGTTTCTGGACCATCATTCAACCAACGAATTGCTATATGAATTTAAGATTCAAGTGCAAAGTACTCGCATGCAGATTACCATCCAACCAGCACAAAGCTATATGAATTTAAGATTCAAATTCAAAGTTCTTATGTACAGAGTACTATTGGACCAACGCAATGTTATATTCCTTTAAGAATCAAATGCAAAATTTTCATATACAGATCTCCATCCAACCAACTCAAAGCTATATACATTTTAGATTCAAATGTTGAGTTCTCGTACACAGATCACCATCCAACCAACGCATTGCTATATGAATTCAAGATTTAAATTCAAAGTTCGTATATACAGCGTACCATTTAATCAACGCAACGCTATAGGAATTCAAGATTCAAATTCAAAGTTCGTATATACAGCGTACCATTTTATCAACGCAACGCTATTTGAATTTAAGATTCAATTTCAAATCCCTTATATACAGAGTACCATTTAACCAACGCAACGCTATTTGAATTTAAGATTCAATTAATGCAACGTTCTCGTATACAGAGAAGCATCCAACCAACCCATTGTTATATATCAATTTTTAGATTCAAATGCAAAGTTCTCGTATATAGAGTACAATTTAACCAACGCAATGCTATATGACTTCAAGATTTAAATGTAAAGTTCTCGTATATAGATCACCATCCAACCAACGCAAAGCTATATACATTTTATATTCAAATGTAGAGTTCTCGTATACAGAGCACCGAACAACTGACGCAATGGTATATGAATTTAAGATTCAAATTCAAAATTCTCGTATACAGATCACCATCCAACCAACGCAAAGCTATATGACTTCAAGATTCAAATGTAAAGTTCTCGTATATAGATCACCATCCAACCAACGCAAAGCTATATACATTTTAGATTAAAATGTAGAGTTCTCGCATACAGAGCACCATACAACCAACGCAATGGTATATGAATTTAAGATTCAAATTCAAAATTCTCGTATACGGAGCACCATACAATTACCAACGCAATGGTATATGAATTTAAGATTCAAATGCAACGTTCTCGTATACAGAGCACCATACAACCAACGCATGGTATATAAATTTAAGATTGAAAGCTTATCAGTACTAGTTTACAGGAGGGATTACACCGCCCTGCAAGGTCACTGGACAGGTGGTTATCTCTTCAACTCAGCTCTCAGTTAACATAAGAAAAAGAGGATCATGGGGACCAATGGTCACCGATTAGGCATTGTTTAATATAGAGAGGTCGCAAGTAGCTACAAGTAGTGCAGCGGGCTTTTAAATGCAAAGTTCTCGTATACAGAGCACCATACAACCAACGCAATGGTATATGAATTCAAGATTCAAATTCAAAGTTCTCGTATATGGAGCACTGTTGTTGAGGTTTTGGCTTCGGTCTGTCCTGGCTCCTCTCAGTCTCTACATTGCCATACACGAGTGCGGCAGCGCCTGCTTCCTGCGGATCTGTGACCTCATATGGGTTCTCTTCCGGGTCAAGTGTACGGTAGTCGATCTCTACATTGCCGTACGTGTGGTCCTCTGGTTTCGGGTATGGCAGTTGCTCATAGTTTTCAGTGTGCAGGTATTCACGGATGACATCGTAGACGAAAGCATATTCCTCCTATTATAGACAGCAAATGTTCTAATTTACTACTTGATACTTATTCACATACATACACATGGATATGGGGAAATGAAGATTGGAATATAAAGAATAGAAGAAAGATAATATTGTATAAGGAGGGACATTTATATGTTCACAATGCATGAATTTCCAAGGTTTCAGAGGCTGTATTCCTCACATGTAAACTAACTAGATACGAAACAATAGATTTGACAACGATCACAATATTTCGAGTATATATTTCTATTTAACTTTTCCTATTGTAAACCATGGCACAACAAGAATTTCATTTTACATGACGCAATTATAGATGGTACGAAATTATTTTCTCTCTTTATCTGATAGTATTTTGGGCTTTATCTCTGTTTTGGAAACCACTCGTTTGATGAGTTAAAGGGGTCCAATGTGTATGTAGCAATGAAGCGATACACTGTGCGGAATAAATGCTGGTTTCCTATTTCACAACAATATCGATTTTCTTTTTTTTTTGATTTTTTTTTAATGCATTCTTTTTATGTCTATATGTGACCAGTGTGCTGAAGAAAGTAGTCAGTTTGTCATACCTCGGTTTGAACGAACTGCATCCTGTCAGCTCGCAGTATCTTGACTGTCTGGAAAATATCGACGGAATTTCCCTCAGCTATCTGAGCGATGCACTCCATAGCAGTACAAAACACACCTGTTCGCCCGGCACCACTCCTTGAATTCCAAACAAAAAGTAAACATGTTTGAATTACAGTAATCAAGATTCAATAAGCATTTACTATTTGGTGAATTTATTGTTCAAAATGTAATCCAATAACATTCCTGTTTAGTAATAAAGTTATCATAACTGAAGAGACCTTCTCTAAAGTATTTCAATTCCTGCAGGTTCCTCTCGAGAACCCCTGGCTCTGAGGTATTTATGTTGTACATAATAGCATCTTTAATTAACTGTTGATATGTCTAACAAGCCATTAGGTTTTTAAGTTGCCGATGCAATTTTTTTTTTCAAGAGGTATGCACATTGCATAACTTTAGTAAACATATTATTAAACGTTATAGTTGATTTTGAAATTTGTAGTAACTATTATCTTGTTTGCCAAAAATATCCCTCAACAAAGTACTTATGGGTCAATCCGGTTTCCATGGACTTTGCATCAATTGCGACTGTCTGGGAATAATAAGCATTGAAAAGATCCTGGACTTACAAACAATGGACAAGAATAGAGAATTCTTTCTTGTTGTTAGTGGAACTTTTTACAGCACGGATGAGCTTGATCAATGACCTAGCCCCTAGTTGTTGATCTGATCCATGTTTAGGCCATCCATGGAACTGGTACTGAGTAACGGTGTGACTTGCCTAAAAGACAACGAAACCAAATAATCCGTGGACAATGGATTTATAAGGCGCATTAGAATTTGTCACAAAATTGCATCTTATCTTCGTGTTCTACCAGAAATGGATAATAATGTTACTTTGGCTTTTTACTTTTGGCTTCTATGTTTAAAAAATGAACTAGTTATTTAAAGAAAAGGTCTAGTTCTGACAAAGATTCCCATCCTTTTTTGGCGTGATATCAACAATGGTCAGATATCTCAATGATTTACATTCATCAAGCCGCTTTTCATCCAGTTTGTAAAACCGTTTCGTTGAAATTTATAATGTGGATTGTTAAAAATATTAGGTTGCTCGATCGTTTAAAAAAAATCAAATGGGGGCATCAACGTTCCTTACCCCTTCGTCAGCAATTACTGTCATCGTTAAAAACACATATAAAATAAGACATACGTTGGAGTTTCTGGTAACTTTCATTTGCCGAGTGGTCACGTCGCCATCAGATGATGTTGATAAGGTTGCAACTGAATATGATCCGAACTGAGCCGAGTCAGCATCAGGCCAGTATTGTGCACAACTCTAGAAGGAGCAGAGGTGAGATTATATATAAAACGTAAGTAATGTTGGTCCTTCCTTTTCCGTCCACTCTATTTATCGTGTTTATATTTCTCGCTCTTATCGTTTTCTTTTCTTTCATGGTGCACTGGTTTCCCTGAATCCCTATAACTAGTACATGCATCACTACTTTAAGCCATGTTAGTTTTTAGATGAGCGTTACGGACAGTGTGGAAGACTAGCCCCGTGCGACCTTCTTCTTCTTATTATGATACTACTTCTACTATAGTCTTCTAAAACTACTACTATTACTTCTACTACTACTACTACTACTACTACTACTTCTACTACTACTACTACTACTAATGCTACTCCTACAACTCATACTACTGTTACTACTACTACTACTACTACAACTACTATTACTATTCCTACTTTTACTACGACTACTAATTCTATTACTACTACTACTACTACTTCTACTACTACTACTACTATTACTATTCCTACTTTTACTACGACTACTAATTCTATTACTACTACTACTACTTCTACTACTACTACTACTACTACTACTACTACTATTACTACTGCTTCTACTACTACTACTACTACTTCTACTACTTCTACTACTACTATTCCTACTTTTACTACGACTACTACTACTTATATTACTACTATTACTACTACTACTACTACTACTACTTCTATTACTTCGTTATTATTACTGACAAGGATCTTATCCCCCCTCTTGCGCCACTCTTGGGACATCAATCTTTAAACATCTAAATTGATTATCTTAAAGGTAAAGACCAGTTATGGTCATGCGATTGCATTGTGAAAGAAACGTTGTGGAATCAATCAGAAAAGGTTGATCATCTAGCATCTAGCATCTGCAAGGTTCTTGAATCATCAAAATGATAAGAAATTTGGCCCATTCTTCGTAAAGTTACAAGCACTATACACAGAAATATGTATATGGGACTACCCTATATCTCTCACAGACCATGAGAGAAACAAATTTACCAAATATATGAATTAGTAGGCGATTTCCCGGCAAATTTTTTATCATCATGTATTAGTCAAAACATATTCTTTCACATGATTGGTAATGAGAGCTTCCGTTTCATTTTTTGAAATTGGGGCGTTTCCAATACTGGTCTTTACCTTTAAGGATTATATTTATACGAAAAAAGAAGCAATGCAAAATAGGAAGGTCTATAAATCTCCCAAACTAAAAGTGCGACAAATCATTAACCAACCAAACTTAACAATTGGCATTTATTCGTTCTTCTACCTTATCGTTTTGGCTCTTGTCATTAAGCATGGCGATAGTGGATGGTTTAGAGTTTACGACCATAGACCAGAAATCAGACACAGTGGTTGGCAGCGGCATCTGGGTTGTCACGAATGTGCAGTGGACTCCCTGAAAGATTACGAAAGAATAATTATAATATACGATAATAATAATAGCTCACATTTATTTACATTTATAATGCGCCTGATACTTTGTTTCTAGTCGCAGCATATATTATTACCCCGGTCATCGGATTCAGGCTTGCCCGCAACACAATGTATGTACATTTTCACTCTCCAGGGGAGCATTTCAGCCAGGCGCCATTTTACAAGCGCACACTTGCTAATCCAACCACATTAACTTTCGCATCCGACCGGGTACCCATTTAACACCTGGATGGAGAGTGGCAAATGTAGATCACTGTCTTGCCAAATAACTTAGTGTCGAGGCGGAACTTGAACCGCGGACCTTGTGATCCACAGTCCGGTGACATATCCACTCGACCACGACACCTCTACAACATGAGAACCTCGCTACCTACTTATATTGCCATTAAATGCTACTAGAGCTGCCAGTGTCAGAATATTTGAAGTACATGTACCCTAGGTGGAGAGGGGCTCACTAAATGAACTGTAGCCCCATCCTATATCCCCTTCATGACTAACAATCAATTTCTAATTCCAAGATACTTCATAATAGACATAACAACTCTTATATCTTATATAGTACATTCCATATCATAATGGCGACAGTTTATGTACTTTAAGGGGTAAGGATGGATATACATTTCAATGACAGTGGGTGTCACTATTTAAAGATATGGAAACTGGAAAAGTTTGATTATGATAATTATGACATCCATCTACGTAAAGCGCACATTATACAGTTGTAAAACTCATTTTGCAAGCTTTTGTATTAAAACAAGTCACTAAAATGCGACGAGGCAGCACAAACGAATATTGTTTGTGTTAAGCATCAATAATATCAATAATACTGATAAAAGCACAATATGTTATAATGGCAATTGGTCTACGCTCGTGACGTCTACTGTTTTTGTGTTGGATAGGAGTCAAATGAAGATAATAATAATAATAATAATAATATTCATTTGTAAAGCGCAATAACTATGTGGATATATTCTATTGCGCTGCAAGAGCTCGTAAATTCTGTGCTATACATATTATATGAACAAGTGAGTTTTCAGTTTTGATTTAAAATTATCTAGTGATGGGGCTTTCCTTATTTCTAGTGGTAATTTATTCCATAATCTAGGGGCAGCACAGAGAAATGACCGGTCCCCGAGGGTTACTTTGGTTTTATATGGGGGTATTTGCAACATAAATGTGTCTTGTGTACTACGAAGGTTACGACCACGAGTTTGAGACTTGATATGCAACAATTCAGTAACGTAACTAGGAGTTTGACCATTAAGAGCTTTGTAGACTATCAATAATATTTTAAATGTAATTCTCTGGCGAATTGGCAACCAGTGTAATTCCTTTAGAAGTGGGGTTATTCGAGAGAATTTTGGTAGGCTGCAAATTAGTCGTGCACATGTATTTTGGACCCGCTGCAACTTGGAAATTTGTGAGTCTGTATATGTAGACGGTATTTATTATGTCATTCAATCCTCCAGATATTCCTGACACTAGATTAAATGTAAATTGAATATGCATCACATGTACATTGAATCAATTGACTCAGAAAGATCTTCTCACCTTCATTTGACTAGCATTGATGTAATCTTGATCTGGGGAGTCTAGTATCACACGATTCCTCTGCACTAGAATGGTATGAAAACATGAGAAAACGTTAAACAGCGTTACGCTACAATTAAAAATAAGAAGAGTTTCATTCCAAAAGGAGCTAAATTCACTTTGTGTACTTCTGAGTAAATCGCCTTTTTTATTTCTCCACTTTCCCTTTAGCCATGTACTTTAATGTTGTTATATATGTTAAAGGTGTCAACCTGAACCAATAATATATGATAAGAAAAAAAAAAAATCCTGATTTTTAATACATTTTTAGATTTTTTTTCTCGTGGATTTAGCTCCTTTTGGAATGAAACATGATCTTGTACCTGAAAATGTTCATATTTTCTCAATAAAATCACTGAAATTTTTTAAAATTTAGTAGCAAACCTTTCCTTTTAAATAATGATAGTGAAATCACAACTGAAAAAACCTATCGAAAAGAAAGTAAACAACATATCATAGTTTCATTCCAAAAGGAGCTAAATCCGTTTCATTCCAAAAAGAGCTAAATCCATGTTTAATTCCAAAAGGAGCTAAATCCATGAATCTAAAAAAAAATCATTAAAAATCAGAAATAATTGGTAAATTGTTTTTGTTATCATATATTATTGGTCCAGGGCGTCACCTTTAACATATATAACAACATGAAGGTATATGGCTAAAGGGAAAGTGGAGAAATAAAAAAGGTGATTTACTCAACGTGGATTTAGCTCCTTTTGGAATGAAACCGATTTGGATTTAGCTCCTTTTGGAATGAAACATGATATTGTACCTATATTTTTTCATTCTCCCTGGTGAAATTTTCGAATGTGATATAGTGCATTTTGTCCCCATATAGTATTTTGATAAAATACGGATTTAGCTCCTTTTGGAATCAAGCTCTTCAATATATTCTTTGATGGAGATATATATATATATATATATATATATATGTATTTATTTAAGTTTTGCTATTTAGGTCTCTTTATATACATGCCAGGCATACGGATGGATCCAGGCAGGAATGGGGTCAAGACCCCCCCCCCCCTCCGCCCAGCGCCCCTCCCCTCTCTATCCCCGAGAAAATCTTTCGTGATATCACCTCTCCACCTTCAAGTTACATTGAACGTATCCAAAGCTTTGAGTACCCCCCCCCCCTCCCCCAACCACGACACCATCTCCACCTTGCACCGTTTCCTGACAATCCGTATAGTGTTGTTTCATGTGCCTTTGGCATCGTCATACATCTCACCACGGCGCACAGTGGGCCAGGGAGGAACCAAAGTGCGCCAAAACTCTTGTTTGGGGATTTATTTTTTATAAATCCAGAGGAAATGTTTGGATCTCCAGGGATTTTCGCTTAAATTTTATTACCAACATTTTCTCTGATGTCTAAGCTTTAAGTTGATACCAGATTTGGCTGCCCGATTCTGCCCGTTATTATGTTAGAGCCGTATTTCTTGCAACATTGCCCCGAAAAATGTGTTTATTTTGGTCCGCGGTGTCAGAACAAGTGTCACGCGCCCCCTCGCGCCGTGATTTATGAACACGAATCCTTCATGAAAATCGATACTTACACCAATGTTCAAGACACTCCTATAATGTTTTAAACAAAAGATGGCGCTAGACCGCATTTGACAAGTTTTTTTCCTTTTCTTCCTTTCCCCAATAATATTTCATTTTCTCCATTGCTTTTCACAAACAATAACAAAATCAATACATAAAAAAATCTGCATGTTAATATTATTATATAGAATATGATTTTACATTCACATCTAAATAATACAAATGAACTTTTGCTATTTACATCAAATAAAGGATGAAACATGCATGCATGAAAAAGGCATGAACATAAAAAGACATTTAAGAGAAGAAGAAAAAATGAAAAAATGAAAAATACTTACATACACACATACACACACGTGCACAGACACCCACTTAAAACATGCCTACATTTTGTGGGAATCTCGACCATTATATCAGCCATGTCCATTCCATTGCTTCTATTCGCTTTCCTTATTTTATCTATTCTGCACGAAGCTATTCTAAATTGTCCCACTTTCTAAAATGATATGTGAGTGTACCTCGGTCCCCAGCTAATTTCTTCTCCTCCTTTCTATTTTCTAATAATCTTTTCTTAATCTCCAAATAAGTTGGTGGTTTTTGTCTATTTTTACTATCTATAAATATCATATATTTTATCAAAATTATGATATGATTTAATAACTGTTCCTTCCCTATGTTAAACTCAACTACCCCTACATGGATACCTTTCCAATTTATATTTGTAATCTCTACTAAATTAAATAAATTCCCACACTCTTCCCAAATTGGTTTTACTTTCTCACAAAGACAAAATAAATGCTCATAAGTTTCTTCATATTTACCACAAAAAGAACATAAATTACTATCAACCATTTTAAATGTATATAAATGTAATTTAGTATATATAATATTATAAAGCATTTTAAATTGAAATTCTCTAAGCTTACTATTCAATGTGCACTTTCTAAGTCTTAAAAATATTAGTTGTATATCTTTTCCATGAATATTATAAGTCTGTTCTAAATGTCGTTCTGCATACGATTTTTCTACTCTCTTATTTAATAAAAAAGCGTATATAATTTTTGAGGTTATTTAATCTAACATATATACCTTTTCAAACATAATAATATCCATATCTAATTCCCTATCTATATTTGAGTGAGTATTTTTATTTAAAAATTGTTTCCATGAAGACGGGATGCCAAGAAAAATATGTTGTATTTTACTAATTTCTAAACTATTTAAACCTTTTCTTTGAAATTCCTCATTAGATTTTATATTACCTTCCTTATCAACAATATGATGCAACTTATACACATTTTTGTTAAATAATCCCTCATCAAAAGGAACATGACCATCGATAAAAACAAATCTATTACTATAGATAATCTCATTCCTCCTAGAAACACTTTCCTTTAACAAAAATATTCTCGTAGCCATCCAAACATCCAACATGTCTCTATAAAATGCTGGTAATACTAATTCAGATATACCTACGGTTGCATTATTATAAAATATCAAAATTCCTCCAGCATCTTTAGTTAAATAATTAAAATATTGTTTCCATCCCATGTTTGCATCCCCCGTTAAAAGTCTCTTTACCCACATAATCCTCTGCACTAAAATAAATAAATGAAAGTCCGTTAATCTTAGTCCACCTCTACAATAATCCAAGAACATTACATTTCGCTTTATCTTATCATTTCCTTTCCACAAAAAGTCAAAAACCAGTTTATCCAAATCTGTAAATACCCAATTTGGTACTGGTGTCAGCGCCGATACATAAATCAATTTTGACAAAATAAATGTTTTTATCAATTGAATTTTCCCCATTAAAGTTAAATCTCTTTGTTTCCACCAAGACAACAACTTTTTTATTTTACTCAAAATTTCCTTATAATTTGTCCTTTCCTGAATTTCAACATCTAAAGAAAAATATATACCCAAAATCTTGACCATTTGTACTACTTTACCAAATGGAAGAGCAATATTTTCATTTTGAGAAGGGCCCAACAATAATATAAAAGTTTTTTCTTTATTAATTTTTAATCCAGAATTTCTAGCAAAATTTTCAAACAGTTCCCCCACCTTTTTAAATGAATTTGAGTCCCGAATAAAGAGAGTCATATCATCTGCATAAAGAATTTGTTTTACATGTACGTTATTAAAAGTAAATCCTTGAATTTCAGGGTCTTTATATATTGAACGAGCTAAAATTTCAATACAAAGTATAAACAAATATGCGGACAGGGGGTCCCCCTGTCTAACACCTCTCTTAATATCAAAGTACCCAGTAGATGAGCCCCCATTAAAGACACAACTTTGAGCATTATTATATATAGTCTCCACCCATCTACAAAATGATGGTCCAAAACCAAATGTAAACAAAACCTTCAGCAAAAAAGTATGTGAAACTGAATCGTTGATAAGGAAGGTAATATAAAATCTAATGAGGAATTTCAAAGAAAAGGTTTAAATAGTTTAGAAATTAGTAAAATACAACATATTTTTCTTGGCATCCCGTCTTCATTGAAACAATTTTTAAATAAAAATACTCACTCAAATATAGATAGGGAATTAGATATGGATATTATTATGTTTGAAAAGGTATATATGTTAGATCAAATAACCTCAAAAATTATATACGCTTTTTTATTAAATAAGAGAGTAGAAAAATCGTATGCAGAACGACATTTAGAACAGACTTATAATATTCATGGAAAAGATATACAACTAATATTTTAAAGACTTAGAAAGTGCACATTGAATAGTAAGCTTAGAGAATTTCAATTTAAAATGCTTTATAATATTATATATACTAAATTACATTTATATACATTTAAAATGGTTGATAGTAATTTATGTTCTTTTTGTGGTAAATATGAAGAAACTTATGAGCATTTATTTTGTCTTTGTGAGAAAGTAAAACCAATTTGGGAAGAGTGTGGGAATTTATTTAATTTAGTAGAGATTACAAATATAAATTGGAAAGGTATCCATGTAGGGGTAGTTGAGTTTAACATAGGGAAGGAACAGTTATTAAATCATATCATAATTTTGATAAAATATATGATATTTATAGATAGTAAAAATAGACAAAAACCACCAACTTATTTGGAGATTAAGAAAAGATTATTAGAAAATAGAAAGGAGGAGAAGAAATTAGCTGGGGACCGAGGTACACTCACATATCATTTTAGAAAGTGGGACAATTTAGAATAGCTTCGTGCAGAATAGATAAAATAAGGAAAGCGAATAGAAGCAATGGAATGGACATGGCTGATATAATGGTCGAGATTCCCACAAAATGTAGGCATGTTTTAAGTGGGTGTCTGTGCACGTGTGTGTATGTGTGTATGTAAGTATTTTTCATTTTTTCATTTTTTTTCTTCTCTTAAATGTCTTTTTATGTTCATGCCTTTTTCATGCATGCATGTTTCATCCTTTATTTGATGTAAATAGCAAAAGTTCATTTGTATTATTTAGATGTGAATGTAAAATCATATTCTATATAATAATATTAACATGCAGATTTTTTTATGTATTGATTTTGTTATTGTTTGTGAAAAGCAATGGAGAAAATGAAATATTATTGGGGAAAGGAAGAAAAGGAAAAAAACTTGTCAAATGCGGTCTAGCGCCATCTTTTGTTTAAAACATTATAGGAGTGTCTTGAACATTGGTGTAAGTATCGATGTAAATAGTAAAAGTTCTTTTGTATTATTTAGCTGTGAATGTTAAATCATATTCTATGGAATAATATGAACATGCAGATTATTTTATGTATTGATTTTGTTATTGTTTGTTATTATAAATTTTGTTCTTGTTTGTGAAAAGCAGAAAATAAAATATCATTGAAAACAAAAAAATGATTCAGCCTCGGACCCCAAAAACCCACATTTTCGGGGCAATGTGGCAAGGGAAATCGGCTCTAACATAACAACGGGCAAGATTCGGGCAGCCAAATTTGGTATCAACTTGAAGCTTAGACATCAGAGAAAATGGTGGTATTAAAATTTAAGCGGTACACCGCGGAGATCTAAACATTTCTTCTGGATTTATAAAAAACATGGATAATTAGTCCATTTTTCAGTGAATTAACCTATAATATAACATGAAGATTGTGTTTCTATTAATTTTAACCCATTCATTCAACGAAATGAACTATCAGGAATATGTGAGAGCAATTTCATATCAATAACTTAAAAACTTCATGTTGAATTGAAAGATTTATAAAATAAGTCACTTTTGCACTAAAACTGTGAATATGTAGGATTTTGCTCTTTGAAGTAGTAAATTTATACCCTTATTGTGCATACCGGAATTAAATATTTCACTAAGGTATTCCTCTATGTATTACCTTTCAACAGGGCAAGAAAAAAAATGAAAAAAATAAATCACCCAAACTTAGTTTTGGCGCACTTTGGTTCCTCCCTGGCGTTCTATCGTGCACCAACACAAATACGTATTCAACATTTGTGGGTGGGAGTGTGTGCGTGTGTGTGGTAGTGATTGGGAAAGGGACTCGTTTTGTTGTTCAAGTGATGTGAGGGATCTCCATATACTGTGTACAGGAGCCAAATTGGATTGACATTTTTTTGGGGGGGGGGGGGGGGTGGGGAGGGGGCGGGGCAGAGGATTTTAAATGAGGGAAGGACACGTTTGTGACTGAGGGAGATTAAAGGGGTGACATGTTGTGTTCACCCAATTTCAATGACATCCCTGCAAAAAAAAAACGCATATTAAAGAGCGACTCATTTCATTACAACGTCGATTACGGTCCGGAGTTCAACTTGGGTATTCCACAAAATATGTTAAACTGTTAAGCATTAGGTTTGAGAATGTTTATATAGCACGATTTGTTTGTATATCCTAACATTACTTACATGGTAGATTGTTTCCGTATCTATTCTTTGGTTGATTATCTGGTGTGCGTCCGGATCTTGTTCGAGAAGGCGGAGGATCTGGACAGAGGCTCTTCAAAGTCTGATTAAAATCATAGAGTGTGATATTTCATGTACATAACGAATTACTTTAATAATAATCATCTTTGGTGCTGGTATATGTTGTTACACTTGCACACATATATATTCAGCTTTAATGTTACCTACGGTCATACTGCACATTTTATCCACCCCCATGGAAGTTTCAGGGTGCTAATACAATTGTCTGATTATCTACTAGCTGCCTCAAGGCTCTAAAAGCACTCAAGGAATTACAGTTACTTCCTAATAAGTATTAATTCACTAAGCCTAATTAGTTTAGATAGTGCTGCGAGTCGGATTCGGAAAAACCCCACCATTCATTTGATTCACAGTTCAGAGATTCACGGATCACGTCATCATTATATTTTCAACCTAAGAGCGTAGTAGCTGGTTTATGAATGGGATACTTTCTGTTTTTCCATAAGTGGTTCCACTGGACACAGGGTATTCTGAAAAAGTAGTTCCGTTGAAACCAAGATATAATGCCCCCCTCCTCTCTCTCTCTCTCTCTCTCTCTCTCTCTATATATATATATCTTTCTCTCTTCCATGTTTCCTGAATCTTCCGTCCATACATGTAGGCTTTTCATGAAAGGAGAGGTGGCGAAAGAACTATATAGGGCTCTAGGGTGAGAACCTACCATTGGCAGACGACCTTGGAGATAGATATAAGCTAAAGGACGTACTGTCTGTAGACATTAATTAACGATCAACCTATGTAGATAATTGGTAAATGTGTTACCTCGAACTCCTTGGTCATCTTGGACCGTCCACTTCCACCAACTGAAGTGTGTAAGTCTTGTAGATGATCAGTGAAATGAATGACAGGGATCAGGGTATTCCTCCAGAGAAGATCCTCAAGGACAGCCCCGTAGATGAAGGCATACTGCTCCTGTATTCATTTAAGGAACGAATGCTTCAAAATTGTTATCAATTCCATCTCATCTACTAACACATCTCAGATTTACGACATGCGAGATTACGTGTGCATAATAACTGAAGAGTAGAACAAGCAATATCTTATGCGCATTCCTCGTTAATGGTCTTGATATCAAATACAATTCCTTTCATACATAGTTGATTTAAATCTACACAAAGAAACAAGAAATGATTGAAAATGTACATTGGTATAGGGGGATTTTTTTTATCATTCAAGATTAAAATAGTACCAACAAAATCTGTTTTATACGTCACAAAAGAAAATATGACCAAACAAAATAAAAATGTTTACATTTATATGCATAGTGATATTCTTTTTAATTCCACATATGTCACATAGATTAATCATAAATCCAATCTCCGCAAAAATATGCACGCATTAGATTGGAATCCATCGGTCTTATTGGTGTCTAAACTGAAAAGATAGTGTGTCAAACGGCAGTAGCAGTTGATGTATGTTTTGAGAGGTAACCGACCTGTGTTTGGACCATGTATGGTCGTTTCTGTCTGATGTTCGTTACGAAGTTGAAGACATCTACCATTCTAGTTCTCTTGGCGTGAGCTACGACGCTATCAATACTGATCACCACGCCTGTTCGACCAACACCGGCACTGGATAGAAAAAGTAACCAGTCATGTTGTTGCAATGTGAATTTCTTGTTTTTTTTAAAGTATAAAGTTGCATTCTCTGCAGATTTAACGAAGTCCACGCACACTAGCTATTGAACGATACAACAAAAGTTAGCAAATTTTTCAAGCATTATCAGTTGAAATATGCATAAGTGTGGAACACAATGTTTCCATGCAGTATAACCCGAGCATTATCCATCTTCTTTTAAGAAGCTCGATTTTGGTTCAAATGGACTGTTACCATTTCATATTCTATCATTGTTGTTGAATTTCTAAAAGAATTTAATATTACCTAAATCTTGAAGACCCATTAATAGGCCCTTGCCAATGTCAATTGCCTTGATTGTGCATCATCTTTAAAAAAGAGTGAGCATTACGATGGGCGTTGTGGCGTGCGCCTGTAACCCAGCTAACGGTGGAAGTAATAGATTGCTTCAGCCGAGGGCCCAGGTTCGAAACTGAGTCACGTCTTTAGGATGATGACGTTATCAGATCGGTCCCCAGACGTAAATAACCACATCTGATTGATTAACGTCTGTAAAAACCCAACACACACACACACACACACACACGATGACATGCTACGTAATCTGAACATAATATCTAAAAGCAATACAATGAAATATCAAAATTGACATTGAGTTGATTTCTTTAAAGTCTTGACTATGGCGTTTGTGGGATCCTTTTTTTCAGATGAAAATGGCCAAGAAGCCTACCTGCAATGGATGATCAGAGGATGAGTGTTCTGTCCATGATCAGCTCTGACTTCCTTGATGAACTGGAGCAGTGATGAGGTATGTTTAGGAACACCCTTGTCAGGCCACTCTGTGAAGTGGAACTGAGTGACGGTCCTGTAGTCGTCACCCTAGTTAGGGGAGCAACACATTTCATGTACGGTGAGAATGAATGGATTTAAATGGAACTTGTATACCGATTATCAATCCGTTTTGTTGTCAATGGTGTCACTTTTGTTAGTGTTTCCATGACTAAACTTAGTTGATGACAACTTGAATCAGATAAACAAAAAACTACGTCAAGATAAATAGTAATCAAAAATAAATATTCTACCGAATCCCAATTTGTATACGTTATCAGATAATTCACATTATATTTTACTCCTTATCTGCATGAAAGGGAAAATTCATGCAAATTTACAAGAAATATTTTATTATATTTGGGTCAAAGGTCCAAAACAGGGAATATTTCCTTTAAAACATAAACTTTGCTGCTGTAGTGTTTATTATAAAGCCAATACTATTCACGTTAATGCTGCAGTCACAAAGGAAACATATTCGAAGAAAGACCATTAAAATTGCAATTTTCGTAGACATTATCCAAGTCATCACAATGTATAAATTATCTTATGCTTACATATTAAAGGCATCGTTTAACAATGTTAAATCTAAGATGCAAGGCCCTGTCTGTGATATGATGTAAGGGTGCCCTACACAAAATCGCGCTTCAAAATGATCAAGAAGTGCCTCAAAAAGTAAAAATCTTTGAGTGACCGGTTTTACCATACTCGTTTCCCCCAAATACACTGTAGTGTTGTGAATACCATTTGGCAAACGCACAATTTGGTTTCGATCTCCAATCATAAATATCTTCATAATAAGACAGGCGTTCGGCTTGTAAAAGTCATGGGGCCTGACTGACCTAAAGGTTTATAATCATCATTGCAGCATGAGCTTACTCCATGATATTGTTTCAGAATTTGAGACAAAGTCACCGGATCCCTTTAAGTACAATTTGACTGGTTGTGAACTTCTAACCGAAGGAGAGACAGAAAGGGCTCACAATGTTACGTAATAATATATATGCAGATATTACTAATGAACCTACCTTTCTCATTCCCATTTTCCGTTTAACTCCACCTGTGCACGCTTCCAGTGACACCAGCTCCAGTTTGATATTTCCAAACACCACTGAGTCACCTTCTTCATTAGGCCAATACTGGCGGCATTTGATCTATTCCAAGCAATCAAACAGAAATAAGTCAGATCAAAGAACTGCAGGCTTTTATCTGACCAGAAACAGATGACGTATTGTGGAGTTCTTGTGTAATACTAATAATGATATGTATTTATGTAGCACTTTGTAAGAAATACCGTTTTTAAGCGCTTTACTGAAACTATTACCCCGGTCATCAGAATTATTCACGCAGAATGTGCACCATCTCCACCAACTGGGTAGTTTTCCTCCAATTATTATAAATTAGGGGTGTACCTAATGTTATCTGTGTCTATATAATCAGGGGTCACGATCAACAGATATGTGTATACTTTAATATACAAAAATCATTCATTTATATATTGGAAGCATAATTTGAGATTCACATCGTTCTTATAGTGATTATGGTCAGGAATGTTTAGTGGTGACCCTGGTAACAAAATAAAAGGGATTTTGAAACAATATTACGAAAAATACCTTAGCAACCCAAGTGTTGATTATTCATGAAGAAGGATGTTAAAGCTGAAATTTTAGTAATTAATTCGACTGGAAATACTATTGACTGACCTTATCTCCTTCCTGGAGCTTCGTTACCATGGCAATAGTCGTCACATTTTCCTGCCAGACCATCCTCCAAAAATCATCCATTGACGCATTGTTGGGTCCTTGAAAATACAATTATTATCTGATTTTATGTTTTGATTTGATTTGATTTTCTTCTGCATTCATGTAAGTATACAATTTTCGATAACAATAATAAAGTACAAGTATTTTTCTGACAATAAATCAAGTAAGCAAATACATATATATAAATCGTTATTTAAAAAACAAAACAAATTGATAAACTGTCATGAATACTAAATTTCCCCAAACAATATAAAACATTATCAAATTATTTGCGAAAGAAGGACTGTCAATTTAAGCAGATTACTACGACAGCCACAGAAAAAAACTCATGAAATAGATTAACACGTTTATTAAGCAGAAACGGATAGGTAATTGAAAATACAAATTTTGATGATATTGACAATGTAGATGATGATGATGATGATGATGATGACGATGATGATAATGATTCGAATGAAAGAAGGGATGACATTATGATAAAGAATGATGAGTTGACACAGATTATGGCTCATCGGAAAATCAAGGTTTCCATAGGTTTATGGCAATGACTAATGTCTTACGTCAATCTAGTTTTTGCGTTTATACAAGAATAAAATATTTACTTCACAGTAACATAAAAATACATGTATTTTAATTTGTATTTATAATTTACTTCTTTTTAAACTTGACGGAGAAATTAGAATAGACATACCTTGTGATGCAATGTAAGCCTTGTCATTGTCAAAACTCTGTTATTGAAAAAAGGGGATAATTGATAAGTTTATCAAAAGTACATCAAAATAAAACTTAATTTATATCAAACCTTGAGGGAATCTTTTTGTCTCTGTTTATAACACTGCTTTCTCTTAGGATTTTTATTTTTTGTTTAATTGATAAGAAAAAACATACAAATTCAAGGCATATCCGGAATTAATTTACAGCTTCAACCAATGTTGGGGTCTCCATTACTTGTTTATTGGGTGTGTTCGTGTGTGCATGCGAACGTGTGTGTGCGCAATTGTATACACGGGTGTGTGTGATTGTGTGTGGAATAAAGATCTGGCGTAGAAAACGTGTATTCTACTTCAAGGACTCCGTCAACTCATGCTACTTCATGTAATTCAACCTTATCATTTTCATGGCCTGCAAATGGGACATAGTACCTTTAAAGGTAGTGTATCCATTTTGCAGCCAACATCGAATTCTGTAGAACTTTGCAGGAATTATGAATATGTCACGTATGTCCTATCTGTGAAATTTAAACGCCCTAGCATTCACATTATGCAAGGAAACCAGTTTACTTTCTAGACGTCACTGTCAGACACTATTGAGTGACTGACTTTTTTGGGGTGGTAATAACATGCATGAAATGAGCTGTAGGCCTACAAGAGTTCATGAGTATTTGTCCACATCACTTGCCCACTTCTTGTAATGAGCAAAATTGAGCTGATTGAATCTTTACGCAGCACAAAAAGTACGACCATTCGGTACAAAGGTCTGAAAATCAGACTATTTAATTGAACGACCGCGGTCGCTAAATTCGATCCGACAACTAACGTTCGTTATTTTCACCCCAAAAAGGCATTTTCAAGCCTTTATGTTTTGAGGGAAGTACTAAATTAGTTTTATATTATGAAAAGCCATTGTATTTTAACCTTTATTACTGTTTTGGCCGCAAATAAGACGTAGTACTTTTAACACAACAATATTTTATTTGTCTTTTATTCTGTTGCATAATTTGGTTCATATTTTTCATATGGGACGCTTCCTTCACCGACAATCCACTTTTAATTAAAGCATCATAATGAAATTACATTGTAATGACAATGTTTTTACAAATCAATGCTTAGCTAGATTGATACATGCCACCTTACTTACGGGAATGTAAGAAGCGTTGAAGTAGTCGGAATGAGGATCATTGTCGATGACTTGTAACTTCACCCTCGCCGAATCATCTGGATAAAAGATAGAATATTAAAACAAATCAAGCCAGCTAGTAGTATTTAACGAACAGTTATTTGTTTAGTCATTTTCCTAGTTTATCTTTGTTTTCATTTTCAGGTAGAGTAGATTACAAATTATAGTGACCATTCAAATCAGTAATCACTATTGGTATTCAAATGCAGAGATTTGTTTACGGATATCAACTATCTTATTTTTTTATTGAGAGTGCAATTGTACATGCAACATTTCTTTAGAGAAAAACTATTTCAAATTAATATTCTATATATATAATCATGACATTGAATTGATAGCATACATCATTACACACATTGTTACAATTTAAATCATACGAATTGTGGTGCTCCGTAAATACATCAGCATCAGCTTTATTGAAGCACGCTTGTATAACTATCCCTAACAAGTCAACAATATAATACAGTCCAGGATATTTGTTGTACTCACATGGCAAAATATTCTTGTATCTGTTTTTCGTGAAGTTGATCTTCTCTCGAGCCACGGTCTGAGGATAGATGTCTGGGCCAGGTAAGTCCTAGGAAACAAAGGAGATATAGACTCAGGTTTAGTTAATTGTTTCACATTTTAAATTCAATAATGTTTTCAGAAAACACTACAAAGATGAAGGCTACTAGTTTTCGAGACTAGAACAAACATCGGTTTGATTGCATACAGTAGGAAAGGAAATGTTGCGGTTAAGAAGAGAAAAATATGGAGGAGCCTAAGGTGAAAAATGATATTATAATGCCCACGGCGATAGACTTCCTGTATGATTTGTTTAATGTTTCGTTACAATTCATACGAGGAACTTGGAAAGATCATTTAAGGATATTGAATCTCGAACGGCATGACATAATGGAACAGCGACTGATCCAGTACAGTGCAGAGGGTTTGCCCCCCAGTGTTCTCAACAGCACATGAATACATTAAAGGTTATACAAAGTTTTGGGAATTTTAAACATTTTGTGGATAGTGATTCTTTACAATTTTGATACATTTGAATGCCCCCGTGAATGTATTATAAGCACTAGAAAATTTAGCCCCTAAAACACTTCTGCTTTCGGGAAAAATTGAATATAAGAATTTACCGGTGCTCCCGGTAAATTTTGATTTCAAATAGCGACTACGGCCGTACAATGGTAGCTGCGACCATAACAATCTCAGAATATGTAGTTGTGATATATAATTTCCAAACGGAAATGGCTAATCGGTCGATTTTAGTCAAGAAACATTGTTTTATAGCTTAATTAATATCTTGACCTTGAGAGGGAGCTATACAACATAAAGAGTTTATTATCTAAAATTTCACAACTGTAGACTCGATTTCAACTGCGACAACGATCACTGAATATTGTAGGATCGCATATGCTTGCAATATGTTCATTTAAACCAAATTCATGACCCCATACCAAAACTTTGTATAACATTTAAGGCTACGTGCAGCGCATATTTGCGTGCCAAAAGAATGTTTCATGCGTAAAACCTTAAAAAGAAAACATGTTGCATGTTGAGAGGAATTGTCTGCATTTAACCTACATGAAATTCCTGGGAGAAGAGCGCAGTGTGTCTGTTCTTGTTGACGAACGCAGGAAACTGAGCCATGGGTATCGGTTGTCGTGTGGCAAAAGGTTTGTTGCTGGATCTTTCAGGAGATCCATCGGTTGAATCGAGGTCTAGGGACTTAGTTGCCCGTACAAAGGGCTTGACGACTACAGCTGGTTTAGGTCTCGTGCTCCTTGAATGTGTTTGGTCTGGGTTCGAAACAGAGTCGTGTCCACTGTAGTCGTTTCCTGACACAATACATACAGAATTAGAAATAGTCAAATGTACTCCTTTTCAAAATAATAATCTTTTAAAGTCCACTCTAAATTTTATTAAGTTAAACCGAAAATGGAAATTCTATTTGCCCAATTGATCGTGAGCCCGGCAGCCACTGAGCAGCGCCAGATCGATGTTGCTCTATCCCTTATTGTTGAACTCCAAACAAGGTAGCAGCAACTCCCGCCTTTTACGTCTTTTGGTATGACGCGGCCGGGGTTCGAACCCACGACCTCCGGGTTGTGAGGCGGACGCTCTACTGACTGAGCCAACACACCGGTGATAGGAAGAGGCCTAGGGTGGCACAACAAAGGATCAGCCTATGTTCAGCAAATAACCAAATAAATTCATAGTTCTTCCAAAAGGTTGCCTTGTTCGTGGCATTATGAAACAGTCCAGGGCATAACTTGAATTGTAAGAATTCTACGGGGCTAGACAAAACAGAATATGTAGGCTCTTCGTTGTCAATGACATTGTCGCTCCATGCTATTATGATGATTATACTTTTTGCACCTGATCATGATACTTACGATAAAACATGGGCCTACCTTCTAATGACGTGTCGTGGAAACCAGCTGGTGCCTGATATTGGTCCTCTACGTTTCCTTTTTTAGACGGATTACTATCATTCCTTTGAAAAGATAAGAAATTTTTTCAGTGCGAATTACGAGAAGCGAACAATACGTGATGAGAAGAGACGAGAGCTAGTAAATACTAGGCTTTTAGAAGAATTTTATCGGTAGATTATTCCCTAAAGAGGGAAATGGAGAATTAATAGAGTGTTGTCAGACATTAATTTTCAAATTTTCCTATTGTGCCTAGTTTCCACTTGCATCGAAAGTATGGTAGTACTCATGGTGGATTACAGTATAATTACGGTATAAGTGAGTGACAGCATTGTACATGGAAATTTCTTTGTACATGGAAAGACTGAAAAGTTGAAATATTTCACGAACCTTCGTCGTTTGAACACAATGATGACTACGATGATGATAATCAGAATAAGCAGAATGGCGCCCACGGCTCCCCCAGCTGCCGGTGCTATAGGAGCGCCACCCAAACCCCCCTCATCTGGTCCAATCATCATTGGAGTCGAAACGGTTGATGAACTCGGTGTCGTTGTTGGCACAACTCCATTTGGGATGAAATGAAATCATACATTTTAATTTTTCTTCAATAATTTTTAAAAATTTGATTTGCCAATATGTTTCTATTTAATCCCAGTATGGAAAAAATATATATTCCGCCACTAATAAGAAAGAAAATGGGCTTTTTATTGATCGCAACTTTTCAAATTAATAACTTTCCTATTTTTAATCGAAATTCGTTCAAACCTGCTCCTCTCATTTTTCTGCTCCCATTAAAACTTTTTATCATCGTAGACTTACCCCTCAACATTTTGAGAACACGTATATCATTATTTTCAACATCACATTTATTACAGCTAAAAAGCAAGCGCGTTTAAGTTAGAAGAAATAGCATAACATAATTGCAATTGTATTTCAGTTTTGACGCTGTATATTAATTTATGAAGAGATGAGAGGACCCCGAAGCGTATCAAGTTGGACAGTACAAATTATGTCTGCAAAGTGTTTGCATATTATTTAGATTTTTCCCCATTTATTCAGAGAGCATTTCATATCTGTAAATGTATGGCCGAGGGCAGCTATCCGTAAATATATCCCCTGTTATTAAACTGTTATGAACACAATCGCAGAGGCTTTTGAAAAATCATCCTGGAGCAAATCCGATTGCTTGAAATGTTTGAACACTTTAATGACGCATTTTATAATCTTTTCCATGGGATATGTAAAGAGGTATTGAAATCGCCCTGAGTTGATTCTTGAAAGTCTTTGCAATGGTGTTTAAGATACTGGAAATGGGTTCATTCTAATATTCAAAGCAATCCTTATAATTTCATATGTTTTATCTTGATATCTCACACCATTCAGAGAAAGAGGCAGGGGTAGACAGGTAGAGAAATAGAGATAAAAGAGAGAGAGAGAGAGAGAGAGGGAGAGGAGGAGGGGAGGGGAGAGGGGGAGAGGAGGGATGAAGGAAGGGATGTTGGGAGATGGTCAAATTATGAAAGGAAATGACTCAGCAGGGGGAAATAGATTATAGAACCTACTTTTTTCAGTTGTGAATGTCAATGCTGCTCCTTGTGCTCCTTCACCGTTGATACCATCCCGTATCGCTGCAATATGAACAGAGTACGTTGATCCTGCTTCAAGTCCACTGACGTTATACATGACCATCTCAGTGGCATTCTCAGCAGACCTCTTCGATACGGAACGGTCCGTATTGTTTACCATGCTTGAAGGTTGTACTTCTTTAGTCAACACGATAATGTTATCTGATCGTACGTATATCTTGTATCCAACAATAGGTCCGTCCCCGGTATCAGAGCTTGGGTCCCATTGCCTCCAACCAATGACTGCATGGTAGGATCCAGATTCAAGTAGTTCTGGTACACCATTATAACTTGGTAAAACTGCAAAGTGTAAACAAATAAACACAGAAAAAGTGGGTAAAATATAGCACTCATTTATTGTAACGCATTGGCTCCTTCCTCCCTATCCGCCCAGAAAGTAAAAGAACAAAACAAACAGGAGGTAACGAAACCATAAATTGTACCACGATAACTTGTAACTAGTATTTCACTATACTGTACCTGCAATTTATTTCAAGATATTAATATGGGACATAATCTTTTGCAATCAATATGTGAAATATTCGAAATAATATAACCATACGTGCATCCTGGAAAATGACCTAGCTGAAAACACGTTTACAATTCTGGATAAATCATGACAGTAGACCAATATCAAAAACTGAACTTAAAGTAAAATACAAAGCTGATCATGATTTATCATGCATGGAAAGCTTTTCATGTGTTACATGTACTCGTTTTTAAAATCCATAGACCATTTTAAAACTTGTAGAGTACAACGTGGAAACTCTTCCAATAAACTGCTATGGGGTCTGCTTACCAAAGAAATCTCTTGGAGGCAGCCTTACGAAAGCAAACTCTGAGGAACTGTCAGGTGCCCCGACGAAGCAGTAAATTGGTTCTTCTGGTCCCATATACTTGTGGATATATGAATTATTGATGGTTGTTCCTGATGTATTAGAGCTAACATGAGTTATCCAGGGTTCCGTAAAAGACGTCCCTACATCTGCCTTCACATAATCAGAGAGAAGATTTTGCCCTGATGACGCTGTGAAGGAACAGGAGAAGATCGCCACTCCTGGGTTGGTCTTTTCCAAGCTCGTCTCAAAACGATCTAAATTTGGTGAAAGAACACAACAGCATTGTGAAACGTGGATCACAGTTTAACAGACAGATGGAGAAGAAGAGAGAAATAATCCAGGGGAATGACACAATTTTAAACACTTTCAAAAAATGAACTTATAGGCAATATCTTTATCAACTGTATAGCGAACATTCATAAACTTCTTTCGGATTTTCTAACATGTCATAGTCATGAATTAGTACAATCAATAGGTGATGAGGATAGGTAATTGCACACAATTATGAGGGCTGAACAGTGACGGTAAGCTTCAAATTAAAATATTTATTCTTCTGTTCGTCACTGCTTGAATAATATAAGCAGCTCATAATTATTACTGAAAGTATTTTTGTTTAATGAAAACAGTTTTAATACGGAGAAACGAATTATGTTGCAGACACATATTTCCTTCAACATCAGTTACCTGTTTGGCATTGATCCCCCATCCATCTTGGATGACAGGTGGATGACAAACAATCACCAGTCAGAAATTTACAATCCTCAACACCGCCAGAACAATGGCATGTCTTCAAACAAGAGCTGAAACATCCTGAAACTGAACAAGATAAATACATACATACATAACTAGAGTTTAAATTGAAAGTAATAAAGGGATATCACATAATATTATTTTTTTTATTTTATAAAATAAACATTTTGCCGAACGTATACAATTACTAAGCATTTACAAGTAGTTTTGGTAGCAAATCATAATAGTAATACAATAAACAAGATAAACAATGCGTATTCAGAGTTGTTGATTATATGGATATCTTAATGACGACATATCAATGTATTTTAAAAATTGTTAGAAATATACATCGGAAGGGATTTCTTAAATGGCTAAATTAATTGCTAAATTTATAAAAAGGTAACTTTGTCTCAGATTCTGAAACAAAATCAAGGATTTAGCTCATGCTGCAAGGGTAATTATAAACTTTTAGGTCAGTCAGGAACTCCATGACTTTTACAAGCAGATCGCCTGTCCGATTATCAAGATATTTATTATTGGAAATCGAAATCAAATTTTGCGTATTCCTATCAGTATTCATAACACTACAGTCAACTGGGGAAATAACCGGTGACTCCAAATGTTAACTTTTTTGAGGCACGTCTTGATTATTTTGAAGCGCGTTTTTTTTTTTTTTTTTTTTTTTTTTTTGGGGGGGGGGGGGGGGGGGGGGGGGGTGCGGGCTTCAATATATCACCATATCACATATACTGATAACACGTAGGGCCGTGCATCTCAGATTTAACATTGTTCAACGATGCCTTTAAGCATAATCTTACATGTCATACAGTTGGCTGGAAACTCCACAGAATCAGTGATATATCCCAAGTCGCACTGCCCTTCAACCTCGTCACAGTATCCAGAATCTTTAAGGCATGCTGTGCCATTCATGCAATTGCATTTCTGTGTACAGTTTGTCCCGAAGTATCCGTTTGGGCAAACAGAAGGAACTGAAATGAGGAAATATATATATTATTTATTTTAAAAAAAGAAAAAAACAGAAGTCATGGTCAGCATTAAATTACCTTCCTTTAATATGTACACTAATTTACTATGTCATTACGTTAAACACAAACAAATGAAGAGAGCATATAATATACATTTTTATTCCGTAAATTGTTTGTCGGTTTACCGATGGAATGAAATCGCGGCATAGGAATATTCTGCAAAATGTGGCTTGCTACACCAGAGTGAAAAGGTATTGCGTTTGTATAAAAAGTCAACTTGAAAGTGTGGGACTTATCCCGGGTCTTTTGGGTTTTAACATGGAAATTGAATCAGCAATGTTATAAACATTCATACATCATTTTCAAGTAAAGTATATGACTGTACCTTCACATGCTGAACCAGACCATCCTTGCGAGCAATCGCCAGGACATTCTCCAGTGACGTCATCACAATCTGCCCCATTAGTACAATGACACTCTTGAAGACAATCAGCTCCAAACATACCATCTGCACATGCTTTACGACCAAATAGAAGTGATATTATGAGATTTGTAGATCTGTCGAGATATTATTCAATTAATTTGCTCCCAAGAACATTTTAATTCGCATTCGACCTAAACATATTTTCGTGCAAGTAATAAACAGGTGCCCGTTTTAAAACCATGATAATATTCATGCACAAACCAATCTAAACCCTCTATGTGAATAAAAATCTTAGACAAATTATGGATAAGGATCGAAATTTGCACCTTGCAAAAAAAAATGTATGGTTAACATAAAATTGTTATAATGGTTTGCTGGTTTCTTCCCAACTTCAATTACGATAGAAGTCGTTTTAGCACTAACTTTCATTGCAGTAGATGCCTGTATATCCAGCTAAACAGGTGCATCCATAAGGATCAGGTAGACAGATCTGACTTCCAGCACACTGGTCCAGAGGCTGACCGGGTCCACATTCAAATTCACAGTCCCAGCCAAACTTATGCATCCCACACGCTGCATGAAAATGTATATATTAGAGTAATTAATTCATATATAACTCACATGTTCTAAAAAGTTCCTTTCTTCGATTTGAGAAGAGGAGAACATATAATATTCAAACATATTGCAATCATTCAAAAATGTTATGTCCCAAGCAGCAATATTGTTTTGTCTTCTTGTTTTGATTGGGAAAAGGGTATGTTTTCTGTTATTATAATCATAAGCAAATAGTTATTCAATTGAACTGATAGTTACTCATGGTAACAAAACAAGTGAAAAATGTGCGAATTAAAAAAACTAATGGTTTATTTTCTTTACTAGTTTTAACATTTGTTAAAATCATCATTGTTATTGTTGTTATAGGCATCATTATTGGTTTTATTATACTAATTATGATTATTTGTAGTACTATCAACATTCATCATCATAATCATTAGTCTTCTTCTTTTTCCTCTTTTTCTTTAGTTCTTATTTTCTTTCACTTTCCTTCTTCTTATATTTCTTATACATTATTATCATTCGTCTCCTCCTTCTCCTCCTTCTTCTTTTTCTGCTTCTTTATCTTTTCCTTCTTATTCTTGTAATTGGTGGTGTCGTTATTATAATTTGGAATTACCATTATAAAACGATTAGTATATCATTGTGAAGACTCATTTCAAGGCGAAGAATGTATTGGACATATATTTAAAAAAAGTTTCACATGGTAGTATCTTCTTTAGGGATTTCTTAGTTTTACCTTGGAGGCAGTTTTTTCCAGCATGGCCAGGAGGACAGATGCATGTTCCTGAGATTTCGTGGCATACACCTCCATTATAACAACTATCACACAAACGATCGCATAATGGTGGATTCCATCTTCCATAAGGGCACTCTGTTAATACAATGTAACATGGACAATTTTAATGTACCTCCCACACGTACGTTAATCCCGGAGATGGGTGTTATACCCCACCCCACAAGCAAATATTTCTGAAGGGGGAGGGGGGGGGGGTGGCCTGTACAAAATATTCCCATAGTAAGGAAATCAATCATATTTTAAAAACTTTTTGAAACATTATTTAAAAACCCTAAAATAAATATGATATTATATGAAAAACCTGTCATTTTCAGCTCCATTTTGAGTCATGCATGCGTTAGCGCGAAAAACATCGGAGCTGGGTTACGATCACAACATTCCTCGTACATTCCACACACACACACACACACACACACACATAAACACACATATATACACACACACAAACGCACACCCACACAATCCTCTGAATGGATTTAGGTCACTGATATACGAAAACAGGTAGCTTATTGAAATAAAGTGGCGCAAAAAGCCATGTTCTTAACCTAAAATGCACAGTGGTTGAAAATCATACCTTAAATTAGAATTGCAAAGACGTACTAGGTCCAAATACATGATTTTTGAAAATCGTCACTTAATGAAAAAAGTGACAGAACCTAATTGTTTAACGGTTAAAAAATCAAAACTTAATTGTAAAAAGTTAAAAGCCACACATTAGGCCATCAATCTGAGTTTTTTATGTAGACCTCGATTAGGCTTTATACTGCAGAAACTGCACTCGATCATGGAAATTACAACTTTACATTCATCGATATTATTTATGCTTTACTGACGTATAAACCATAATATATCTGGTCGGTTTCGGTCGGTTTTTCTTGATTGTTGTTATTTTAATGACCATAGCTTTACAGAGCTGAGGGGTAACAAGTTCCAGTGTATTTATACCCTTGCGACCAATATGCGATTATATATCTTGATGTGTAAGGAAACAAAATTCGAACCCGTTACGATGAGTCTTATGGAGCTGTATTGATGTTGTTCCAACGTTCCATCCATGTACGTCACATACACACCGGCGTCTGAGACAGATGCAGATTGGATTGTGTGTGATAGACTGTCAGAACTCATTCCAATAAATGAATTATCCCAGTCTACATCAGTGAATTTCCGCCATCGTATCCCACCTACTTGCACCATCCCTCTCGTGCTCATCACACTGAGTGTGATATCATCTCCAACATGTATTGTCTTTGTAAACCGACCATCACTGGGTTGCAATTTACCTATACAAAATAAGAAGGAAACATCGACAACACCTTACATTCGAATATTGTTTTTTGCTGATTCAATACAATTGCGTCATCTCGTCTTTCATTCTATCGTGCTCCCTCTCGCTTTATTTTTCTTTCGTTAATTTTACATTGTCATCAATTAAACATTATTAGAAAATATGTTTCAAGCATTAGCATTTATGGTATTGAGGATCGGATTGAGTCTCAACATTATCATAATATTTTCTTTTTAGAAATATTTGCATTAGTTGAAATTATCTGTTGTATTATAATTTAAATGTAAAATATTAACAACCTTACCAAATTATGTGAAAAATTGTTTTGTCCCAATTTTTGTCTTAAGAATGTGACATATTAAAGCTTGCATATAAACATGTTCAACAAACGCCCTCATTTAACCAGTTCACCTTGCATTTTTCAGTTACGAAAAATACACACACTAATTTGATAAAGGTATGCATAACTAAGTTGTCAACTGTTTGTGTATATTTACGGGAAGAAAGAAGAATGCCAAGAGGAACAGATGTCATTCTACTGGCTGTCACTGCAGAACATTCGAAAAAACCGAAGCCATCCATAGCATCTGGAAGAGTCTGCCTTAACACTACAGATGATATAACATTGCTGTCTCCTGGAGCTGTGTAACTATCTGAAGTTATAGACTCGGTCAAACGGACGAGTCTTCTGGAGGAGAATGTGAGAATATCTTCATTCTCTGAGCCGAGTAGACAGATAAATGAAGCATTCATCAGACCTCCTCCGTAGGGTGATAGAGTAGCTGCCAGTAGACGTACAGGAAGGATCTGTCGCGGACCTATGAGAAAATCATTATGTTTTTCAAGTAATTAGTGTCCGTTTAGTATTTCGTTAGAGAAGAAGTAAGGGAAACATACAAAACGTTGCCAAGGCAATGACTTATCTCAAACTTTTCATATTACATATATTTTGTTCACAAAGTAACCTCTACTTCTAAAACTGAATGGTATAACGGTTTATGGGAAACACAGTCTGAATAATAAACGATACTTTACGAAGTCATGTTTTCCTCGAGTCATCGACTGTAGATAAAGCCAAAATAACTAGGAATGTTTTATAGGCAAATTTTTACATCATTTTAACATCTGATAAAGCATTTTTTTCATTTTCCGCCTTGAAACAACGCTATAAGCACGGATTACAATGGATGATATTCTGCATAAAAGTGGATACCAACCATGGCTCTAAAACAGGGATTACACCATATTTTAATGATAATATTAATAATAATAATAATAATAAACAAACTTATAGAGCGCACACACCGTCGAGGGACGCTCATGGCGCTAGCTTAGCAACAGTTCTCCTTGATACAAGTAAAGTAAATAATTTTGCAATATTTGTATAACCCATTTCAATCCTCAGCTATGCCCGATGGGGCCCGGTGCCCTCCAACCGCTCCATCCACTGACAATGTAAGGGACTAGCCCAGTCAGCACAGTATTCACAATGTCATCAATCGATATCTTGTTTCGTTTGTGGCACTTAAAATGTGATGTAATAATGAAAAACGGGCATCGTTTGAGCATGGACTATCATAAAGGAGAACCCTTGAATATAAATAATATAAATATAATGACAATACTCACTCGGAGGTTTTTCACATGCAAACCTGAGGTAAGATGCACATCGTCGTCTTTTCCATCCATTATTAACCTGCTGATGAACGCATTTTCCAGTTTCAACTGAGGTTGCCACACCACTCGACCAAGCAGGAAATCTTGAAAGGTAAAAATACAGTAACGAGTTATCACAGTATTACAAGAAATATGTCAGCGGCTTGACTCGAGCTTCAGTTAAAATATATATACATTCAAATGCAAATATAAACAATGCCTTTCTTGGTAACAATGATCTTGCATTATTTTAGGCTTCATAAGGTCTGCATACAGAAAACATGTAGAGTAAGACAAATTATTCATTTCGACGTTTTCGGTGGGGGGGGGGGGGGGGGGGGGGGGAGGTGCCATCAATCCATTGGAAAACCTATCCTAAGCTTGATGAATATCAACTTGTATCTTAGAAAATCATGTTATAATAGTCTACATACCAGTTTCTACCAATTACATTCTGTCTGCAACATGATATGATCGCAGTTTGTCACGAGTAGGGAGTGTGAGATACTGTCGTGTTTGTGTATGAAAAATACAATTTAACACATACCCATTATCGAGTGGAGTGTCATCAATCCATTGAAACGTGCCCTCCTGATTGATATCATCGAGTCCGAACCAATACGAGTTACCTCCAGCCAGAACAATGAGATGCATCTAGTGAATCAGAAAGAGAAAATCACTGGTGACTATATCTAATGCCCCATGATCATGATAGTGGGATAACTTTAACGATATGTCGATAGTCTATGACATCATTGAAAGTTGAACTTGTTGCTTATTCTTGGCTCATCACATCGATATCATGCTTCTCTGTAACCCTATTCCGATTGTTCGTACATAACCTACCAGATTCTTTATTCCTCTTACATGACTTTTGTTGTTTTTATTACCTATTTTGTGCACACACAATGGCTAGATCAAAGCCTGTTACAGTTTTATCACATTTTATTAATGTATTCCATACTTGGAATTAAACTTTTTAATAACATGATGCGTCCTTACATTGATTTCTTCTGTTTTAGGCTGGGCAAGATCTCCTCCTTGAGCCTGGCAGTACTTTCTAGCAAACGGGTATGACGTCATCGAAGATTGAGAGATATAGTACAGGGTTCCATCAATGCGACTCCACTTATATTCTGGAACGACTATGTATTGATTAAAACATGGTGATTGCCATTATTAGATGTTCATCGTGTTATAAGTAAATAAGAAGAAAGAATTTCAAACAATAAGTATCATCGTATATATATATATATATATATATTAGTCAAACTGATACAACACGAGGCCAGAGATGAGAAGATCATGGATTCACTCTCCGGCATGGCTCTTTAATCTAACCTATACTTCTCTCCACCCAAATGTTTTGGTACCCCGTAGTATGCAAACGTCTCTTTGTTGGGTTTACACTGTGTGCGTCTGTAAAATGACACCTGTCTAGAGTAACTCCTCAGAGAGTGGTGAATGTGTCCGTGGACAAACCTTGATCCGATGAAGCAGATAATAATAAACGCTAAGATATATTGGATATGCAGCGCTAAATAAACATAATTGTAAGTAGGTTTGTTAACATGCATAATTATGCAGATGGGTTCAGACATGACAACTGATAACATTATAAAAATTAATATATTCATCGAATACGTAGTAAATAATCAACGGATCGTGTCTCGCCCACCCTTGGCAATCTAATATCAATGTTTCCAAAGAGAAAGTTTAGTGGCACTTCATTTGTGAAAAGAGATTTTAGCAGATAAACTTTAACATATGACCTCAAATGCACTATGAACTTAGCATGTGACCCCTGGCAGCACCATACCGTGAAGGTCCCACAAGTGCATTTGTGGCTTGTTCACAATGGGATTGACGGGTGCGAAAATATTTGTCACAAGAGAGTTTTGCAGGAACACTTTGTGACAGACGCTATTACCTTGTGGGCGAAACAATAATACCAATGATAATATACCGTTTCCTGCATAGCGCATGTCACATTTTTTTATCTATGCACTTCTATACGGTATTGAATATTATTAGCTTCGTCTTTAATCGAAGCTCTTAACGCTCAGTGTAGTCAAGGAGTAAATCCTATCAAGTACCCACTCACTACACATGGGTCTAGTGTGGTAATTGGCAAACGTGATTGA